CAGTTTATGCAATCCTTCAAAACTCTGATCATACTCAAGCTATTTTTAAACGGTACCAGATATATCTAACCTCTTTCCAATGATTTCCATAAGAATTCATAAGCATAACTTCGCCGTCGCCATTTTCCGCAGGAACGATAAGACTCAAATGATTACAAATCCCTTCGTGAAAATCCATCATCTCCAATCCCCGAAATGCTGCAGCTAGGTCAACACGACCTTCCCAATTCGTCCTCCTTGCTTCTTCAAGACCGAGTTTACTTTTTCCATCGGTTTTCAGTGTTGAGAAAGGTTTCGTGTTGTGTTGCAATGTCGAAACGAGCTGTGTGGACACAGCAATGTTGGCCCGTCTGCAAAAAGCGTACGCTGATGTTACACCAAGTTTAGTTAGGTTTTTTAAGGCGAACATTGTAAGGTTAAAAAAAATTGTAATTCAAAAGATCGATGTGTTGTGTTTTCGTGTAGACGTCCTGTATGCAAATGAAGGGCAGTCACGCAATGCTGTCACGGGTCGATGATCGTGGGCGCGTAGGAAATTCAAAATACTTAAAACTAGACGCTCTTGGAGCGTGAAGTCGGACTAGCTGCTTTTGAAAATTGAGAAAGACAGGATATTACATGGATAAAAATATTTCTTAATTTTTTTCCAAAATAGCCGAACTCACGGTCTAATAAGAGCGTCTAGTTCAAAATATGGAAATTTTATTGAGACTTTAAATAAACTTGACCTAAAAGGTCATGTAATTAATGCGATAAGAACGTTTTAAAAGAGTCCTTGCTTTGACTGATGAAATCAAACTTGCTAGACAAAATGTGATATCATGATATCTACGTTGACCTCTCAGGCCAAGAAAATAAATACTTACAAGGAAAATGATGCCTATAAAATCATTAAATTCGCTTTTCTGTTATTGATAAACAAAGTTTCTTCTTGTTCTAATTTGAAATCTTTGCCCMCACAAAACTGTCTAACACTAGAAAGGTCATTTATTCAGATTCCTAAGCATACAGCTCGAAGCTCCATGCGATCTGCACATGCGCGTACTATTGATGCCTAGACAGATGCATTCTGATGAGATCACAGATACCACATTTGTAAACGAATAGTTTTTTTATCACATAAAAGCGCAAGAACTGGCATTTAACATTTACTAACGGTATTCGTATATCTACACATTTGAGCTTCCGGTGATGTAATATTAACACAGCCAACCCAATAGTTGTTCGTGGTTCGAGCCCTCATGAAGCTGTAAATTTTTTCTACTTCATTTCTTGAGACTTTTCAGGACTTTCTCTTTTTTTGTCTTTTTTCTTTAATAAGTATAAACATTTTTATGAATAAAGATTGATTTTTAAAGCCATTTTTATATTTTTCAATCTTTATTCATAAAAATGTTTATACTTATTAAAGAAAAAAGAAAAAAAAGAAAAAAGTCTTGCAAAGTCTCAAGAAATGAATTAGAAAAAATTTAAGGCTTCATGAGGGCTCGAACCGCGAATCACGCAACACATTACACCGCCGTGAAAGCAACACAACTGTTGAGCCTGGGCGCCCTGTGAAAAACAAGACTAAACCCACTATTTGCTCAGAAATCGACCATTATAGCTGTAATATTCCTGCGTGTATACGGTAAATTTAACTCTGTTGTCACATATAGCTTTCAAACAGCTCACCACTACATTCTGCCAGCATTGTGGGATAAAAGAGCCGGCTGTGTTGGCCAGATCTTGAGACAGCTGATACATTTCGCGGCAGAATAGTCTTTTAACTAGATACTGAGATAGTTTAGATAGATAAGTACAATAAATGTTCGTTTTAAGGCGGCTTTAAGGCTCGATGACGTCAGTGCCTCAAGTCAGATTACGGATGCCGTTTGCATAGTTGGATGTTTTCTTTTCATAAAAGAGTATGGCTGGACATTTTTTTTAATGTTTTTTTTCCTTTCCTGTTTTGATTATGATAATTTACTGACTTCGACACCAAAACATGATTCAAATGTAAACTTTGCACGTAGGAGAAGCTAGGGACGCCAGGGAGACTGAATCCTTACATAGCGAACTACGCATGGACACTACTGAGATGTCATTACTCTCTAAACAGAGTCAAATGGAAGACAAACATCACCTCTTTGAAATTTTCAATTTTTTAATCAAATAATGACCACTAATAGCTGCAATCTTTTACCACACCGGCGAATTCAAAAACAAATACAATTATTATAAGACGCAAAAGTTTACATTGTATTACAAGACAATATTACATTACAATCAATGTCGCACAGTGTTAGGGACTTCACTGATCATCTCGGATGTTGCTTTCTGAAGGTGAGTTTTGCTTCAGTGCGAAATCTGCCGAGTGTTCGTTGTCCTTAGAGACAGTTAAGAGTATCATTGAATAGGCCCAAGTATAGTCCCCGGCGTGTCCCACATGATACTTTTGCTAGAGGAAAAGTTAAAAACTTTTGCTAAAAGGAAAAGTCGGCTACTTAAGTGTTTCTTTTCTAGTGTTAATTCTTGTTTATTTAAACCATTACGTGTTCAAAACTGGAGTACTAAGCTACTTGACAAACATTTTCTAATTTCATATTTCCCCTTGGGGGTACTTTAAAAACTACATCTATTTATGTTTTCATGGAACAGCCTCTATGATAAGATCGTCTATCCCGGAAGAAAAGGACATAAAAAAACACCATGCGCGGACAGTGATAACCATATTGTTGTCCAGCATATCAAGACATATTTTTATGATATATTTGTTTTTGCCGTGTTTCGATTCCGGCTACGAAGACMCAACAAACATTCTTCAGTTTCCTTTAAAACGAAATCAAAATGTATATTCTTAACGAGTACTTGAGAAGGACTGTCAGAAACTCGTATATTTTTGAGTTTGACTTTCTCTCTGGTTGCTATTGACGTCACTAAAAGGCTGGTACGTATCTCAGCAGTGATACTGTTAAAAGCCATAACGACCTTTATCTAGTTTACACTATTATTTTCTCGACCAATAATGTCTTACACTGGAAAATGAGTGCTTCACTGTAAATTACAAAACAGCTGTTTTCGCCAATTTGCACGCAGTACGCAATATTCGTTGAATGTCAGTGTAAAGATTTCAATTAAAGCCAGAAATTTCTTTTTTTTTTTTTGTCCGGAAGCAAATTTTGCTCAATACTTTTGGTTTATCATTCAGTTTGGAAATCCTTTGCTAAAATTCTCTGGTAATATCACAAATTTACTTAAGAAACAAGTGTCTTCCCTCGAAGTACATCAATACAACTTAAGTGAGATGCATAACTAGAGTTTTCCGAACACAAAACAGTTTAAAAAAAGTATTAGTTGTGCAAATTGGTTAATGTAAGGAAGGCCGTCTTTCTACATTTTTTTACGAGCGACATTAAGCTGTTGAGCACAAATAAAAAGATTTGAGTGGGAATTTGCAGAATTTTGAGATAATTGCATTACAAATTTGCCAACTGCTACAAGATTCCACGCACATTATGACTCCACACGCATCCATTGTATCTGCACGCGGCCGTACATACGCAATGATTACATATTAATCAAATTAGCCTTCGTTTCCGTGCTCCTCTCCCCCCGAATGTGAAATAGAGTTTTCTAGGCTTTATAGTTAAAAAAAAAATGATTTTGAAGCGTTTCAAATGTGCTTTTGCCTAAAAAATGTCTAAAATAATGAAAACTGATGTCTTTTCTGATAAGGAAAAATAACTAAATACGGACTGATTATTTAGGAACTGCATGATGACAGTTGCGTAGATATATTTATTTTTTCTTATACTTAAATCTACTTTTAACAGGAACAAATTCCTATTAAATTTACGTCGGTAGGAAACGAAGAAGGTCAGTGTGTTTTCCTTTGTGAAAGCTATTGTTATCACTACTCCAGCATATGGCTTTTCGCAAAATTGATTTTAAAACGCATGCGCACTTACACAAGCACATCTCATCCAATGAGAACGAACGTACTATCCAAACTAATTTCACTCATATGTATGGCGCTTCTAAGCCAATCACATAGCCTGAACTATCGAAAATGCTTTCTAGATACTGTTTTATATTAATTAATTGTTTTATCGGTGAAGATCCACTTCGTGCTCCCTTAGAAATCTCCCATTTGCTTGAGTTGATTACGATTTTAATAATACGATAGACTGRTAGGTAAAAGGTGTCTCACTTTAAAAAGATACCCTGATTACAATCAGATGTTTATTTTAATATTTGTCTGCAAAACCACGCATGAAAAGTCGAATATAAAGACAATGCAAAATAAGTTAAGTACCCTTTTTTTAAAAGGGTAAAAACAAACATTTACTCTTAMGAATAAAGTCTGTAAAAATTGGCAAAAGCGCGCGAAAAACGTCYGTCAATCTATATCGGCCTTTTATTTACCTGCATRGCGAATACCCATAATTAGTTTTCTAAAAATAATTATCTTAGAATAATTTGAATGGCTATTTAAAAGGTTTGGTATCCATCAATGGCATTTGCTATGGAAATACTGGAACTATAAAAGAACAGACAGTTTCCTAAGGTTTTTATTTCTATAGAGTGTCAAATAGATCAAACACTAGAATCCAAAAACAAAACAAAAAAATCAATTTTTCAAAAATTGAATTTCAACGACAACCTTCCATTTTTTCACCCTTATCCCASTTCCATATTCATAAGTCAATATCATTAAATTTACTTAAACAAAGATTGGAGGAATGTTTATTTTCTGAAAATTTTTAATTTTAAACTTTCTTAATACAAAAATTGGGAATCACTCGGAGCTGAGTATTGGGCGTTGTTTAAGCACCTGGCCTGCGGTTAATTTGGGAGCCAGTTTTGCGAGGTGATCTGAAACAGCGGGACGCAAGTTATCCGATGTCTAATCATTACATCGAAAAGCTGGGATTCAAAATCCACTAATTTAACTCGTTATCAGGTAAAGCAGGTAGCAAAATGTTGAATTTAAAATGATAAGGAAACGGGGATTGTGTCAGTGGTGTCTTATCGAGGAAATTGGAAAACAAAACTCTATCACTGTCGTCCTCGTTTTTAGCGGTGCAGATGCGAATTAGAGGTTGGTTATTACCATAAAGTATAATATTGCTAAAATACTCTTAGAAGAGCAATAAGCTAAAGAATTGTACTTTAATCTTCAAGACTTTCAAGTGTTCAAATCTGTGTTATTATCACGCGGAAAGTTATRGTTAATTGTTACACTTATACATGACATTTTCGACTTTCCAGCCAAAAACAAATTGTCGCTACAGCAAAAAATTATCTCATTATTAATCACAAAATATAGATAAAACACAGGGTTTTTTGTATTTGCAATTTTTTTGCTGTAATTTGTAATCAAAGTGTTTTAATTTCAAATTGTACGCATTTTTTTTTTCTGAAAAATTCATACGCTTGTTTCACCGAAAATAAAAATTCAAATTATAACTAATAATTGGACGGCTTGTGAATCGTAAATCAGAGAAACCGTATAACATGTTGGGAATAATRCACTCCTGTTGGGAAAACTGACCACAATTGGGCGAAAACAGTTCTAAAACGTTCAACAATAGTTAAAAATTTAAAATTGTCTTAGCTGAGTGGTTTGCGCAAAAATTTGTTTAATGGAAAATGACGGTGTTCTTGGCTAAGCTAAGTAAGCTAAAAATCCGATTATCTCGGCAACTTATGTAATTACACAGGCGTTTTTTTWAAGTCAGCATATTTATGAATTCCGCTGAAATAATAACGACTCAAATAAATTTGTTAGCACAGATAGAAATGCAATATTACAAGTACTTTCAAAATTGACATTTTTGGCGATGTTACCTTCACACGAAACTCAAATTAAYTTGGTAACTATGTCTGTAGCCAATCAAAAATCTTATTAAATTCTTGGAACCGGACAAAGGACACCGGACGGAAGAATAGTTAGACCATACAATAAAAAAATAACAGTTTTGTTATGCTGGTCAGTTCGCTAATTGGTTTTTACAGTTTCGAAGCTTAAAACGGAAGAGATTATAAGATTTTTGCTAGTATACTAGGTTGACTATTTATCAGGTTAGACAATATCACTAGAACCAACAAAAGATCTAAATAAATTAAATTTCAACACCGGATTGTCTGCTCCACATCCCAAGRCTTTAATAAAAATTATCTTAAGTGTCTAGCTCGAGGGATCACGAAATATAGAAAGGAAGAAGCTAAGACGTACAGTATTAAATTATAGTAATTATTGAGACTTTCATCCGAGTAATGACTATTGCGATCGTTCGTTCTAGAAKCTTCAAAAATTTCGAATTACATTTTATTATTGAGACTGTTCATAGATCTTTCTAATCAAACAGTGATTGACAGATGATTGTTCCTGTTTTGTGATTGGTTTATTGACCAACCTCTTATTACATTGCCCAATCTAACCTATGTGTCGCTAGCATTGAAGGTTATACCCGTGTCGTTACAACTAGCATGTAATTGACAGAAATATATACAAAAAAATACCATTTTTTAAGATAAATAAAAAAATAGCGATCTTGATGAAGCTTTTTTATAGATGTATCGTGTGCTAAATCGCCACTAATACTCTTTATCAGAAAATCTCATTTTAATGAAAAAATGTAGGTGTAATTATGGCTTTGTGTGAGAGATATATACTTATAGAACACTTTCCCACATTTGAAATTTTATATGAAGGTTCAATTCAAACGCGAGGAAGTCAAGACGTGTTTTAAAAGGTATTTGAATAGCGGCGGTCTGAACCGTTTTGTAGATACTGTTCCCATGCAACAAATTCTGCAAAAAACATATATATTTTTTTTGCTTTTGTATGCGGATTATTCATAGTAAAAAGAGGTTTAAATCCTACATCTCTTCAGTTTCAATGCTAATCCTCGACAAATCGCGTTATAATCTGTCTGATACCCGCGAAGATCATTCAAGCAAAAAAGGTGTGGATCCGGGCCAGTTCTCTCACTTCTACCGCATATTTATCAAAAAATAACACAGCTCGTGTAGATATTTAAAGAGTGAAGGAAGATTGTCTGAGACAAAAACAGCAGAGGGACAGTCAGGTAAAATGAAAGCTGCCAAAAACCTCGACTTATCCGCGCTAAAAAAAATTATAGTATATTAACGTATAGGCTCAAAACAGATGATTACAGGAATGTTATCGATATCATCCTCTAGATTCAAGGCATAATCAAATGAAATCAAGATGAGCACATTCACTGTGCTTTACAAGCCAACAAAATTGTAAAAATTATTACAAATTCCTTTGGTTTTAGTAATCAATTAGTTCAATTTCGATGTAATTTTCTGCAAAGTGCTTCACAGATCACTCACGAAACCTTATATACTGAGAAATGTCTTCTAAAGATACAAAAATAGTCAAACCATTAGATACTTCAGAAGAGTGGGCTATTATTGYATCTAGAATCAACCACCCGGATAGAGCTGTTGATTGTTCCGGTACAGTCAACATGAATCGTGCGGCGGACTACCGTGAAAGCGTTTTACTGTAATGGACAGCACACAGAGATAAATGTTTTATTMCTGACACTTTGCGTTTAGTAATTACATTGTACTTTGGTAGCAAGCTAATGTAAAAAGGCACTTATCATTGATGTGGATGTTAAGTAGGCCATCCGTCCCGAAATAGAAACGCCATCTTTATATCTAAATGACCCCAGCAATAAAAAACAGCGATGCCTGTTTTTTGTGGAAGATAAATAATGAAAATTGCCTTTTCAGTTCACTCAAGAAAGCAAAGCTGTGGGTCTTTTCACTCAAGCAAAAACTGTTCTCGCGCAGTTGGGTGTACGCCCCAATGGTTTTTGCATGAGTCTAGTAATGTCTTCACTTAAGATATAGATCAAAAGTGTTATTTGTTCTTGACTACATGATATCAAAAAAATATATCAAACCGATATTTCTCTGATGTAATTATGCATGCATATATAAAAGCTTTTTAACGCCGAGCTGTAATTCTTATTCGCAGAAAATCACAGCTAAAGACTTGTGTTAATACCTAAGAGGAAGAAGAAGAAGAAGAATTAAGAAGGGAAGTATAAGGAAGGGAAATATATGGAAATGAATGAATCAGCGAGCAATGGAACTCATGCAAACGACGACCTTGACAACCAATCTGTAATGACAGTAGTTTTTATCGGTTTGTCGGTGCTTGGTGTCTTAATCTTTGCTGCAAACGGGCTTGTTTTTCTACTCGTATATAAAGAACGATCGCTACTTAGAAAAACCAAYTACTTTCTAATAAGTCTTGCTGTCTCGGACATCCTCTCRGGTTTGRTAGGAATTCCWCTTGTGCTSGTCACAAATTCATTCGGCAGATCAGTTGACGAGATTCKTAAAGCCATGGACATCTCCAACAAGTTTTTAGCGTTCTCAACGATTTTACACTTACTGACAGCAACAATTGAGCGATACATCAARGTATTGGCTCCTCTTCAYTACAGGAGACTGGTGACAAGGCAGCGCGTWCTTCTCGTTTTGGCGGGAATTTGGATGCTATCCTTGACGACGCCACTGATTGAGCTGACTTGGGATTTTCGTAKMGAAATCTCGAGAATCTACTCGTTGACTTTGCTGTTCTGTTTCGTCGTCGTYCCTCTYCTTATCATGGTKTTTATGACAATTCATATTTTCTATCTTATAAGGCAACAGAAGAAGCGGTTGAGAACTCTGTCAAAYAGAACKRCTGCGCACAGACAACGTAAAYGTAAGCAAGCACAAAGACGTGCGACGRTTGTGTATTCATTCATGTCGTTTAGTTTCGCCGTAAATTGGTTCCCGTACTTCTTTTTCGCTCATGCTGATGACGTTGGAAGCGACCTGGACCCTCCTATGTGGACACATATCGTATTCATGTTTATGAAGTTCAGTTCGGGTTTAATCGACCCTCTYCTTTATACCTTCTTTAAGACTGACTTCCAGGCGGCTTTGAAGTCATTGATAATAACTCAACCAAGGTACAATGAAGCGACAGTACCCATGACCTTGCTGCAGTCAACTCAGCGMGACCCATCGGCGAGAAGCAGCTCGGATGATTAAGCGGAGGAGATTACAGTACTCTGGGATCCCACTCTAGATCTCATTCTCAATCCCTATCTGTCCTCTGATACACAGGAATCCCAACTTCGAGGCGTTTCGGGAAAGGTACTTTACTGTGCCTGAATACTATATTAACTTGGGAATTTTTGTTATTATACCATTTATCTATTTTGATATGAGCGAATATGTAGTATGTGCATGTGCATGAGTTTGTGGTTCGGATATTGTAATTACCTTTAAATGCTTACGAGTCTTTTTTTTTTTCAGAGTCTTTTTTTTCTAATGTTTTTTTTTAGAACGTTATTTCCCTTGTATTTTAAAAAATCACTTTTTGGTTTTATACCTGTCAAAGAAAAGGTGTCCTTTTCCGTGGCACTTTACGCGACCGGCGGAAGCGACCGTATCGAGGGTGTTCGCTGGCATGCTTCCCCGAAACRTTTTGAAATTCAGACACTTGGAAAAGTGATTTACAGCGTTTTGCCAAGCATATTGTGACTTTTTTATCTTACACCATTTTATTTTGGATACGAATTAAGGAAAACTCGAAAACATTTTACCGAGTCAAGTTCCTCGCTTGCCTGATYGTAGCTRCGCTGCTYTTTGTGCCTAAAGGGCGTCGTATAAAGCAACCAAGCCAAAAACTTAACGAAATGAGAGAAATRTGCAGGAAAYCCACAATATTGTATATCAGAAATGTTTTATTCCGCAAAGCTATCATGACCAAAGTGAATTCATATCATACGAGTAATCTTATGTAAATTGAAATTAAAATTTGTAAAACTTGAATATGTCACCTATGCAGGTACTTCACACAATTCAATAATTACTATACTTACTAAATTTCCAATGAAGTCGACCGCTTATCTATAATATAAAAGCTAATAACTGGAAAAAAAGTTTAAAAATAAAACAATATTATAATGATTATTATAATTAATAGATAGATTAAAGACAATTAAGTAAAGATAGCGTGCAAAGATAATCAATAAAAAAAGTCATAGATTGTTTTGGGAACTTGTAGATTGATCTCTTGCAAATGGAATCTGTTTTAAATAACTAAATTGGGGGCAGTGACGCCATTTTGTTCAAGAAAAAGCATGATGGGAGTGCAGTCGGTTCACACTATTTTTGGTGCCTAAAACATCTTCCTTTAAGAGCCGTTTAAATTATGCTTTCTTAATAGACACTGCACAACTTATTCTATTTCTTCCAAAGAAAAAAACATAAACGGCTAAGCGGACTTTTTTATCGGACATTAACTCCTTAAAAAAATCATGCTATCAGCAGCTTTTTTGTTAAAATGGCGTCGCCACATTGCATATTACCATAAGCGAGAGTTGAACCAACTATGAACAACATTAATGCAACACTTTTGTTTAATCATATGAACAAGTGTCAAATTGTAATTTTTTTTACCTTAAGACTTTTTTTATAAGTTTTAACGCAATCTTGGACATTTAGGATGCTGACCTGCTTCCAACAAACACTTTGATTGTCCGGCTGATATTTTCGTCGAGCAACGACAATAAAAAAACATGATGAAAAAAAAAAACTGATTTTCAAACCATCAACATTTTTAATTTTAAAAGATAGTCGTCAATATAGTCGAGTAACCAATCAGAGAGCGTAACTGTACAAAATGTGCGACATCGTCGAAACTAAGACCAAAGGGAATTATGGGTCCTCGTAAAGAATCGTCCCGTTTGGCTTGTCAAATATTATTTCGTTGATAAGTGCAGACGTGTTTGGGAACGGAACCACTATAATAAACACAATGTTGTCCTAATCCCTTGTCTTCGCGTTCTCTTTTTGAGTTAAAACCTTTGTTGATAAATGACTGTTTAATGCCTTTTAATGTAATAGCTATATGACGAAAAAACAAAAAAACAGACAAAAAAAAAAGAAAGAAAGAAAACTAACAAACAAACAAACAAAAAAAGATATGCGTGCAGGGCCGTAGCTAGTACGAGGCAAACCGAGGTACTCGCCTCGGTAAAATTTTGCCGATGCTTTTTGTTTTTCATCACTAATATCATCTTAGCCTCTCAGAGCCCATTTCTTCATACGACGGATTTTGTGCAAAAAAAATATTAAAATAATGTTAATCTTGTACGTATACCTTCTTTGTTTCATAAATACTGCATGATAATCATGATGACTGCATAATAATAAATCGCATTTCCGAGAGACTGAATTTCCGTTCACCCTGGCTACGGTCTTGTGCATTTGACATTAATTAAAACGCAACGCACGAAATTATTGAAAGCAGATTAGAATAATGAATTACCAGTATATTTTACATACATTTTACGAACATTATTTCCGTCGCAGCATGCATCTTTCAGCCTTTTTGTTTGTTTGTTTGTTTGTGATGGTAAAGCTAATGGACAAACATTGTATGAAGCGTTTTTGGATAGAAATAATTCTTGGTTGTCCTTCATGAGGTTTCATCATCGATTGTCCATAGTTAACACGAAGAAGCACAATTATTTCTAAAATAAAACGATTAATAAAATTCTTAGTCATAATTTTCGGAAAAGATTTGAGTAGACACAAACAGGTTTAGGAAATAAAACGTTAGCTTTAATGGACCCGGCTGAGTCAGCACAAGAGCGAAATACTTATGGCCATTTCCAGCCAGTGCTTTTAAGATTCTATCATGGTATATTTGCATTTMGGGCRATAAAAGTTCTTGTTATCGAAGGTATTCAAACATCAACACAGTATTCCCTTTGGTCACAATCAAAAGCATTTTACAATTACGTTAAGATAGGCTTTTTCYAATTAAAAATTYATTAAATGAAWATYGGTAACATCCAGATATCCAGRTTTTSTGTTCTCATGAATTTTTATTGAGTTAACTACTGCTATTCTTTCYACGGCGTCTTCAAAAGACCTTAGCAGGCTATACTTACTGCCACTTCAGGAAACAAATTAAGAATACCGAACATTTATTGTTGACTGGCATAATTTAGTCGCTCACACCTGACAAGGACAAGGACATCACTCGGTGAGTATGCTTTCGCGTTTGAATATATTTCTAAGTTTATTCCAGTTTTTATTTGTGCAGTTCACTATTTAACGTACGCTTTACGTCTGGTATATAATTATGATAAATTCTAGATAAAAGTCTTAAAAAACACCTGACATTTATGGCGTTGGTCCTTGATTCGTCGCAGGAACGTCCGAAAAGACATTTTTTTTTGTCATTTCATCGCTGTTACATAAAAAAACCCCGACGCAGATGAAACTGCTGTAGTTATTTCTCCTTCTTTCGATGCAGTAAATAATCTTAATTTGCATGCTGAGTGAAAACATAGCGAGGTATCCAGTCTCGGCGAGGCTTATTTTTTTTCTTTAAGTATATAAAGCTAACGATGGACCTCATATCCCTTCTCTGAATTTCGCTATTTTGATACCAGAAAACAGCGATAAGTAATCTGAATCTGATCACAGTAGCTTCCATTACAACATAGTTTAAGGCTTGTGTTAATCTGTTTTTATAGAAAGAGAATTGTGTAGAAAAACTGTTTTCATTTGCTTACAGAAATCATTTGAAATATCGCAATTAGTAACGAGTGCACCTGTCAATTCATATCGGGGGCCCGTATACCACCGGGTTTAGCAGTAGCAGTGGGAATTAATTTTTAATTATGTTTAAGTCACATTGATATGTTAGAGAAGAAGTTGTTAAACAAGTCAGTTTATTTTCTTGATGCATTTCTCTGCCCCAATGCTCGACTGTCAAATCCCCGWTTGGGGTGCTACCTTGATCTCGGCAATCCCCCGGGCAGTTTTGGGACAATGCTGATCCGTAATATTGATTACAAAATTGGAAAAAGCAACATTCAATCATACAGTCATACCTTCGTCGGACGAAGGATTAATGTCCAAAACGTCAGTAAGTTATTTCACATACTTTTTTTACGGTGTTAAATTTATCTTTTTACACAACTGTTTCTTTAGAAACACCGACGCAGCTCACACTAGTTTGCCGCTAGTTCCCACCATTTAACATTCAATCATGTCTATGGTATATATTGAGTGTTTTATGCTGGRAATTTGTAAAGGTACAAGTACCTTTTATTTGACATTAGGACACCTGAGCATAATGAGAGTGATGAATTACAAAATTGTTAAGCTTTGCAATTTGAAATGCCATGTAAGACAAAATATCATATATTGTTCGTTTGTAATATAATGGTTCCTTTATCGACTCGGTAAAATGCACCTATTAGCGATAAAAACACTCTGCTGAGCTCTCTGTATACCTCGGTCATCATTGTAAATAATAGGTTTGTATGTTTTTTTCATACATTCAGATCATCGCTCAATTAAACTATATTGTTGCTTGCCTTAAATTAATCAGTATTTCAGATGTCAACTGCATCGAATACTTCAGAAGTGGAAATTTCTCAGTTTTTGATTCTTATTTTGCACGAGTCACTTTTCGGCGCTTTTAAATTTACTGCTATAATTTTAATTACAGGCTGACCTATTCTGAACTTTATGTCAATAATTTTTCGTTTTCCTGAATTTTTTTCAGTTTCGCAGTTCAGTGGAATAGGCTTTTCTATTGATATMGAAGGGAAACTGCTCGCAATATTTGAATATGAATTGTAACTTAATCACTGTTACGTGCGGTTGAACTTAATGAGTCTTTTTTCAGTTCCGCCTCTCCGCCAAAAAAATAAGAAAAGGTAAAAAAATACTAAAATTTGGATAACAACCTTTCAAAAGAACTTCGCCGGATCTTTTGACACTCCTTTTCAATTTTTTTTAGATTTCCTTTCTTCCCCATCTGTCAAAATTCACTTCATGAAGGGAAAATTTAGTATCCTAGCTACAGGTTTAACGTCTGTCTGAGTGAATCCTTGATCTACTCAGTTCTCATGTTTGTGGTAGGATGATTCAAAGTGCATTGAGCATGTCCATCAAAAGGTGAAAATTAACAAACAAAAAAGTCCTCATACGTCCTTCCTATATAATAACCTTTAAATGTTACGTTGGCGCCTACGTCAAAGAAGTATTTTTCTTCAAATGGAAACTCTTATATATGAAATTGTTCTTTTTCTTTTTCTCCGACAGGCAATAAAGCTCTTGTTGAGTGAGTTTCATCAAGCGCGGTGGCAAAAAACACAGGTGAACGAGTCACAGATTTTAAAGACATGAAGCTCAACGTTTCAAATGGCACCTTCCTCTCTAAGAATGGTTCCTTTACAACTACAAGCAATCATTCAAACCTATTCAGAGACAATAATCAATCTGTGGAAGAGTTCTTTCCACAATATGAAATGGCAACCGAGGACAAGATCATTTTGGGATTTYTATCWCTGCTYGGTCTTCTTGTAGTTGTCGCTAACCTTACAGTCCTTGGCCTCGTCATGAAACTGAGGTTTCTTCGAGCAAAGCCAAACTACATCATCATCAGTCTGGCGTTATCTGACTTTTTCTCAGGAGCMGCAGCTATTCCTCTTCTTGTCGCCTGCAATGYCACTKTTGAAMGGCCACTRTGYATAGGTATGGATGTCTGTCAAAGGTTCCTAGCCATATCGACAATCCTCCATCTCGCAGCCGATGTAGCGAACAGATATTTTAGAATTGTGAAGCCTTTTGCGTACAGAAAATCAGCAACTTGCTCTAAACTTGTCTTGTTGATCGTTCTTCTTTGGGTGGTCTCCCTCGCATTCGCTCTCGTCCAAATTATTTGGATTGAAGATCGTCAATCAGAAAAACAATTTGCGTACAACTTGGGCATCTTTATAATCTTCGTGTTTACTCCTTTTCTTATCATCGTCTCCGCCTGCGCGCAGATGTTTCGTGCTATCAGAAAACGCAAAGATTTCCGCGGCAAATCAAACAKGATAAAGAAAATCAAGCGAACTGAAATCCGCGCTTTGGTYGTGTATGGAATGATGACATTCTGTTTCGCAATCGGCTGGTTCCCATATTTCCTAATGACAATCCTCGAGGACGCAGGMTAYATCRTCATGATGCCGTACTGGTTAAGTATCGCTCTCCTGTTCCTWAAGTACGGTACGTCGCTGATAGATCCTCTTTTGTATGCCCTTATGAAGAATGACTTTCAGAAAGGTTTGAAGAACTCTATAATAGGYARAAGAGAAGAAGACGAGTTGTACTCKATTCAGATGGATTTACTAAGTAAAAAGACGTCTAGAAGCACGAGTAATAGCAGTGGCAAGAAAAAGACGCGAATTGTACTTATTTCAGAGGAAACCGATTAGATAATAATCTACCAGATATATCGAAGAACTTGTAATWGTGAGATATGTTAAAGAAGACTGACACAGTTGTGTACTCCATCAAGAAGGACTAGAAAACTATCTTAAAGAACTACCAAATGATGGCAAAAAGAAGCTAAATTGTAGTTGATTCAGAATAATCGAAGAACACTCAAACAACTAGTCTTAAATGAGAAAGATGAAGAAACTGAGAAGATGAGCTGTAATCGAGTTAACTCTATTTAGAAGACACTTTAGAAGAGACTTGTCGGTAATTACAGACATCTAAAAGAACTTGTAGCCTGAGTGTGCTGAAAAGAAATGAAGCGAGTAACTCGAGCATCTAGTAGTAAAATTACACTTTATAATATAGCTTATTCTCCATTATATATATTTTAGGCCATTCTATGTTAACCAGCAGTTTTCTTAACTCTTAAAAAGGTAGATTATTATTTTCATCATGGCAGACATGATATTGCATGAGATATACAATGTTCTTCAGTCATTTGGCAATTTTCATACAAAGAAGACGTTTGTCAACTCAACGTTTAACGGGTAACAAGAGCAGTTATGTCACCGAAAACACCTGTATTTTGCAATTTTTAGAGATTTTTCGGTTTTTACTGTGGCTACGTATCATAATAAACCTTTAAAAAACTTTAATTAAAATGTATTTCGGTACAAATATTTTTACTGATGAAATTTTGCTTTTCAAATAGGCCCGGCAAATGAATTGATGTTTATTGATCGGTTGAAACTTCTCTCCAAGTCATAACTACGGACCAAAATCTTAAGGATCAGAACTCGGAGGCCGCGCGATGCATGAGGGTTTTCGCGCAATCTAACCTATGCGATAATAAAGTAATTAACTATAGTGTAATTAAGCATGAATTGTAGTAAGTATTTAATTCGATGATATATTGAAACTATTTTAAATTGTTCTGGATTGCTAGCCAATTTTGCCATAAACTGAACATTATTGATTATTTACCTAGCTTATGATGAAACCAAGAAAGCAATGAAAACATCATAGACTACCACTTGAAAGAATATAGACCAACCAATAAGAATGCCCGGTCTGTTAGATCTTCAAAAAGAATGATTTAAAAACCCAATCATTTTTAGTCATTCCCATTAAACTGAACAATTAAAATTATAGAATATTCAATTCACAAGATATTGTAAGAGAATGTTCAGTTTAATCACTCATAGAACGGAAGTATTCATGCAGCCAACGTACTGTTTTAATTTYATAATCCGTGTTCGTTTCCTATTCTCTTCCGATCTATCCTACGTGGTCTTACAGAATATCCTTACAGAATACACCAATTATCGGTATCACGTCCTTATTCATAAATCGGAMGTTTATACAGTCTAGATCATAATAAAGTCGTATAGCATTGATGACATTCTCTTTYTCTTTTTTCATCGCATGCATCTTGCTTATGAAGTCCTGTGTACAATTTAATGTACCAAACATTGACTGTTGGTGTGACAAACTATAACACATAGAAATCTTGAGAAGCAACCGAAGCCCAAATCCCATTACTTAGGAACCAGATTATCAATCGTTTCGCCAGCCATAAGCTTTTTCTCCATCTGGACCAAAAGCTGAACCCCATCGACAACCTTTTGCACTAATTGAACCTCAGAGAAGCCAATTCTGTCCAGGTTGGAAATGTCGAATGTGCCGTCCGTAGAAGCCGTATCCACGCCTCCAGTTCCTCGTTTTTGCAAACGCAGTTTGTCCAAGATCTCATCAAAGCGAGGCTGTTTTGACAATAGAGGGAGTTTAACATGTACACCGCCACGGAGGCCTGTGCCAAGGTTTGAGGGGCAYGTGAGAACGTAGCCAAGATGTTCATTCCACATAAATTCCTTTCCTGCTGTTTTCATTAAAGATTCGATCTTCCCGAGTCCATCACAGAACCTGGAAAAGACTTCCCTCATGTTTCCCCCTTTCTGCATTGAAATGACCCTTAAATGATCTTCTTCGTTCACCCAAACGAGGAAGTTTTTGGCATCGTTGTGCCAAATGCCCCGTGCATCAGGCCAGTCTCTTGCCATGCGGGATGACAGGAGAAGTGGAGAAACAGGTTTGTCAAACAAGAAATGGTCCTCGATTAGTTTTTCTTGCTCTTCGTCGGTCATTTTGGAGAGTGGGTAGTACTTTCCTATTAGAATATAATAGAATTAATACTAATCATATAGAACTTTATAAAATTTTTGATATATAACGCGCGCACCGATTGGCTGACGACCGTGTGTTTCTATCAGAGACACGGCTTACCGGCAAAATTTGTTTTTCGCTCAAACAAACATAGCAAACATCTTCCATAATACATGGGAATGTTTCAAAAAATGCCGCGCCCTTACCTTTAAGTGGACCGTCAAGTTTATCCAAAGCATCCACGGAGATTTTCTCAACGGCACGACGTTCAGCTCTTGTGCAGTGCGGAGGTAAGGATAGACCCCGGATTGAGCGTCCAGTTCTCACTCGACACGACAACACAAAGTCACCATCCAAGTCATCTYCACCAATCAGATTGTCGGGATTGAGGTCGGTCACGTGCTTGGCGTTCTTTTTGTAGCCATTATGACGCGCTTCGATGACTGGATCCAAGAGGTCTGCAAATACTTGGTAGCTTTCCTCATCTCCTGCCACACAGCCCACGGTATAGATGAAGGGATGTCCAGGGTTGTCGACGCCTGTTTGTATGATACCATCCAGAGTGAATCCAGAYGGCGTCTTGACCTTGGACAACYTGTCATAGATATCTCTTGTCAGGCATTTTGCCATCCAGTTGTTATGGGAACTCAAGTCTGGGTAAYCATCGACTGCAAGTGATGAACTGTTTTTTGTTTTTGAAACTGCTTTGGATGAGCTCTTCGTGTTYGCTCGCGCTTTTGCCACGACATCAATGATGTTTCKWGTCTTTTTACCAGCGTGAATAGAATCACAGAAGCTTTTGATGTCCAGTCCTTGTTCCAAAGCCTTCTCAARCTCGATCATCAGCTTAACACCATCAACAACAGCTTGTACTTGTTGCACTTCTGACGTTCCTAGACGGTCGGAGTTGGAAATGTCAAACACTCCACCAACAGATGCCGTATCTACTCCACCGGTACCGCGCTTTTGAAGTCGTAGGGCTTTTAGCAAAGGATCAAATTCCTTGGTTTCGCTAAGAAGAGGAATTTTCAGATGTACKCCACCTCTGAGTCCTGTTCCAAGATTTGAAGGACACGTAAGAACAAAGCCAAGGTGCTTGTTCCACATGAATTCGTGTCCTTTTCTCTTGATGGCGTTTTCGACTTTCGTTAGTCCATCACAGAAACGACTGAACACCTCTTTCATRTTRCCTCCTTTTTGCATRGAAATCACGCGTGWGTGGTCCTCCTCRTTGATCCACACKAGGAAGTCTTTTGCCTCGTTATGCCAAATTCCACGCGCGTCTGGCCAGTCGCGCGCCATTCGCGCAGACAGCAAAAGTGGTGAAACTGGTTTGTCAAACAGGAAATGATCATTAATGAGTTGTTCTTGTTCTTGATCTGTCATAGTTGTCAAGGAGTAGTAYTTTCCCTTGAGGTGCCCGTCAAGTTGCGCCAACGCAGACGTTACAATCTTCTCCACTTCTCGACGTTCTGCACGACTGCACCATGGAGGRAGAGCAAGACCTCGTATGCTACGTCCAGTTCGGACACGGCAAGAAAAGACGTATTTTTCATCCAAGTCGTCTCCGCCTACAAGATTGTTTGCATTGAGGTCGGTTTTGTGGTTAGCAGTTTTCTTGTAGCCACTGTGACGTTTCTCAATGACAGGATCKAAGAAGTCGGCRAAGACAGAGTAGCTTTCCTCATCTCCCGCAACGCAACCGACCGTCATGATGAAAGGATGTCCCGGGTTATCYACCCCTGTCTGTATCGCATAATCAAGCGTAAATCCMGACGGTGTTTTCTTAGTGTACAATTTCTCGTAGATTTCTTTTGTCAAACACTTTGCCATCCAATTATTGTGCTGAGATAAATCGGGAAAATTKGACATTTTGACTGGTGAGGCCTTAGCTGTTGCAGGAATAAGCCCGTCGATCGATTTTCCAGATTCCAATGCCTTTTCCATTTCTATAAGGAGCTTCACTCCATCRACAACTTTCTGGACTTGTTCGACTTCCGAAGAACCAAGYCTGTCAAGATTTGAAATGTCAAATGTRCCATCAGTAGACGCAGTATCAACTCCACCAGTTCCRCGCTTTTGAAGTCGAAGCGCAACTAAAATCTTATCGAATCTGCTTTCTTTGCTCAGCAAAGGAAGTTTCACATGCACTCCACCTCGAAGTCCTGTACCCAGATTTGATGGACAAGTCAAGATGTAGCCAAGATGTTTACTCCACATAAACTCACACCCTTTGGCTTTGATAGCTGATTCAACCTTATTGAGACCATTACAGAATCTGGTAAACACCTCYTTCATATTGCCTCCTTTTTGCATCGAGATWACACGCGTGTGATCCTCCTCGTTGATCCACACTAAAAACGTTTTGTTYTCGTTATGAAAAATCCCGCGAGCGTCCGGCCAGTCGCGTGCCATTCGCGCAGAAAGAAGCAAAGGAGAAACAGGCTTGTCGAACAAGAAGTGGTCTTGGATGAGTTGCTCTTGTTCTTCGTCCGTCATTTTTCCAAGTGGATAGTATTTGCCTGGAAAAGAGTCATGTATATGTTTCAAAGAAGAAACTTCCATAGAAATTCAAAATTAATCTTGGGATTGGCATGATTATTGAAATATCATGTTGAATGTGTACATATCCTTGGTATTGATATTGCTTACCTTGGAATTCTCCGTCAAATGAATTCAAAGCATCAACAACAATTTTCTCTACTTGACGTCGCTCAGCTCGGGTGCAGGATGGAGGCAGGCAAAGACCCCGGATGCTGCGCCCAGTCCTCACTCTACATGATAGAACATACTTTTCATCAAGGTCTTCTCCACCAATCAGATGCGATGGATCGAGATCCGTCTTATGCAYATCTGTTTTCTTGTAGCCGTTGTGTCTTCCTTCGATTACTGGATCAAAAAATGGAGCAAATAACGTGTACGTTTCCTCATCGCCGGCCACACATCCCACCGTTTTGATAAAGGGATGACCAGGATTGTCAACTCCGGTTTGTATTGCCAAATCCAATGTAAAGCCTGAAGGTGTTTGCTTCTTGTAAAGTTTCCGATAGATATCAGMTGTCAGACACTTCGCCATCCAGTTATTGTGAAGAGAAAGATCAGGGAAGTTATCTGGAACTTGGACATTCCTGTGGTAAAAAAAAAATGAAAGTTCGATCAGTGTTGCGTTTCAATAAAATTACAGTGCTTAGGTAGATTGTAGAACAACATCTTKAGTATAGAGAATTGAAACGTGAATCTTACTGCTTTTGATCTTGCTTCGAAGCAGAAGAAGTAGCAGTCTGCGTTGGCTCAATTTCTGTGAAAACGAAAAAGGAAATTAACGTATATTGATATTGCCTAGCCTGTGTACATCCGTTTCTCACCCCTCAAAAAATCGGGGAGAGAACGACGTTCTCTCCCCGATTTTTTGAGGGGTGAGAAACGGATGTACACAGGCTAATATTGCCACAAGCAGGCGCGAACCTGAAATATGTGGATCGTGAAAAGTATAAATAGTAAATGTAACTAATTTGTCAATTTTTCGTCGCAAAAACAAACAAGCGACAAAGTTTAAAGTCTTAGAGGTCCTTAAAACAAAATGCATAAAATATACGCAAATTGAAAACCTACTTTTGCAGGATGCGCCRCAGCCCATGTTTTCAGTTAGACTCCGACTTCTTCAAACAATTGGCCAACTTTAACTGTCTTCTCTCGATTTGAATATCTCCACAAAGCTTAATAAGCTTRCTGCATTCCTTTCAAATCGCTGCCGTTGTTCTTGTCGTATACGCGCTCTGTAATTTTAGCGCGAGCAAGTTTGAAAAGARATGAGTGCTGCTCTTGTGGGAAGTGCGCGCGTGGAGCTATGTGTGACGAAACTAATTAGTCTAAATTGGTTAATTAGAGTAATAGAATCAGTGCAAAATAACTCTAATTTTTAGCACTATTAAGTAGTGAGTAATGTTTACGGATCTAGCACTCCGTGCTTAAACAAATTTTTTCTCGAAAATATACCGCAATAAAATCTACCTAAAACGAAGCGCTGGCAGTTTCACGTGGATATGCGAGCCGATATACACAGTGGTCAGCGGTCTCTCATTCCTTCCAAAATGGCGTTTCGTTCTCCACCAGAACGGCTTTTGAGGCCAATTGCAAAGGYGATTTCTGCAAAAACTCGTCATGCTATCGGGTCAAAAGTAAATCGTACAASTACAAGAATGTACAGAGCAGCTGTATGCAGGGAATTGGAAAAGCCACTTGTTGTGGAAGAAATGGCTGCAGTGCAAAGTCTAACAGCTTCTCAGGTTAGTCTTATTGTCTATTGTAACGAATTGGAATACCAATTGCAAGTCTTAGTAACTATCCTGTCACACAAATACCAGGTGCGTGTAGCCGTATATTCCTGTGGTCTAAATTTTGCTGACGTTCTTATGTGTATGGGAAGATATCAGGAGAAACCAAAACTGCCTTTTGTCCCTGGTATGTAAGCTTAACTGTGAATGTTTTAAGTCGTAAAAAAGTCTCTATAGAGACAAATAATTGTTCTTAATGTATTGCTTTGATTTATTAAAGGAAATGAAATCGCAGGGGAAGTAATTGAAGTTGGAGAAAAAGTGCAATCACTGTCTAAGGTTAGGAGAATGAGGCTGTTATATTTATAGCAACACATTACACTATTGCCGTGCATTACAAGGTTGAAATATAATTGTTATTTGCTCTTTAGGGTGATCGTGTRTTGGGACTCATGCCAGCATTGAATGGTTTAGCTGAAGAAGTGGTGGTTCCACAGGAGGTTGGGACAGACAGTCAAATATTGACTGAAAATCATCTGAACAACTAATCAAATAAATACTGACACAATAGACAAATGGCCAGTCTCTAAGTATAAAATTCATAAAAATAGATTTTGGTGGAAATGATATAAAGGAGAAAGACATGCAGACAGACATGTCATTCTCAAAAATGTTAAAAAATTCCCTGACCTCGCTGACTTTGGTTTATTTTGTTTGTCTGTATTAGTCACTGTGGCAAATCCCATCAAGTTTGTCATTCAARGAAGCTGCTGCAGTTGCAATCTCATATGGGACAGCTTATGTTGGTTTGACTTACAAGGCAAACATTAAGCCAGGGTAAGATTACTAGCAGTTATGTAAAAAGATAAATTTAACACCGTAAAAAAGTATGTGAAATAACTTACTGACGTTTCGGACATTAGTCCTTCGTCCGAAACACTAGTTTACCGCTAGTTCCCACCATAAGATTACTAGCATAACTTCAGATAATACTTTGAGTTAAAGGATTTCMACAAGACTCAAAATGTTGTTTTATGTTTAGCCAGACTGTTCTTGTAACTGCTGCAGCTGGAGCCCTAGGACTGGCAACTGTTGACCTTGCTGCCAATGTATTTGGAGCCAAGGTAATCTGTTACATTGAAAACTGTCCTAGCTTTGACGTTTGTTAGCTTATTTCAGGAAAGAAAAGACTTGTAATTTGTAAAGCTTTTTCCTTTTTTYCTTTTTCTATTAGGTGATAGGTGCAGCTAGCAGTGAAAAACTCGACATTGTCAAGAAGATTGGTGCCATAGCAACTGTAGATTATAACAAAGAAAGCATCAAAGACAAGGTTTGTCTGGGTAGCAGCTTTATCCAAAGGGATCCCAAGAATGACATCATAACCAYAGCTATAAATTAATATTACATATATTTCACCATAGGTAAAGGAATTGACAGGTGGGCGTGGTGCAAACATAATTATGGAAGTAGTGGGTGGTGATGTTTTCAAGGAGTGTCTGCGATGGTAAGGCAGTTTCRTCTTGTGTAATACTTTGTCGTTTAATACATAAAGTACAGTTACTTGAATTACAGAGATCCTGGAAGTCTAGTGATGCAGAATTACTCATGTTTATCAAAAAAAATAGTGCCGCATTGCATTTTTTGAAGTTATAAGCTCTTTCCATATTTTCCCAAACTACTTTTTCTAACAGTCATTTATTTATAATAGTATTGCATGGGATGGGACTATTATTCCTGCTGGATTTGCTTCAGGGAACATACCACAGGTTGGTTCTAACATTATTATTTTGAACACCACTAAGTTATGTTTTTTGAAGTATTGTATATGACATCTCTCTGATTTGATACTGAACTGACAAAGAAATTCACAGATAATCATGTTTAATTAATCTTTTTTTATTTGTTGTCTCCAGATTCCTGCCAATATACTCTTAGTAAAGAATTGTAATGTTGGTAAGTGCAAATGTGCCATGTTTTTGATTTTAGATTTTTATAGTGTATTATTTAACAAATAGATCTCATTTTTCCGTGCGTGTGTACTCTAATAGATACACAGATGACGTCAAAATGTAGTGAGAACAAAAAAGTACGCACGAGACGCAGTCGAGTGCGTGACTGTTGTTCTCACTACATTTTGACGTCATCTGTGTATCTATTAGAGTACACACGCACGGAAAAATGAGATCTATCTGTTTTATACAACAAACAATTAGTTTTGACGTAATCCGTGTATCTATACTTTGATAACACACGAAAGCCAACCAATCAAAACGTCTGATTTTACTGAAAAGTTGTATAAAGTACATTATTAACTTTTTGCTTCTCTCTTATTTCTATTCAGCTGGYTTATATTGGGTATGTATCTATGGCAAATCTTCTTTACACTTTTAATGTTTTTTTTTTCAATGTTAATTGTTTTGTAATATAGGGAGCCCATGGGAAGTTCAATCCACCRTTATTAAAGGAGTCAATAGATAAAACCATAGAATTCATTCAACAAGGCAAACTGAAGGGACCTCTTGTGTCTTCCACATTTGATCTAGACAAGGTAAACACAGAAAATTTATCCAGTAGTTTGAATTTGGTATGATATTAGGAGCTCTATGTCAACATTTTGTAACAAAACTATTTAACCATAGTTAAATTGAGACAACTACAACTACATGAACTGTACCCTGCGAGCAGAGTGTATTTCCTTACCTCAATAAAAATTTGCGAATTTTTATTGAGGTAAGGAAATACACTCTGCTCGCAGGGTACATGAACTGGCCCTTATAATTAGAACATYGTGCTTTTCAGGTTAATGATGCCTTCAAGTTTTTACTTCAACGCAAGTCAACTGGAAAAGTAGTTGTCAATACCCGTTAATTGTTCATTATGTTTTTAAGTACAAGGCATATCCATCCTTCACAACATTAATATTAAATATAGCAAAGTTACCTGGAGATTTATGCGTAAAGGAGAGATAGATGTTGTCATATAAAGAAGAATAACTTTCAATGCATTTATAAAACTTATTAATAATGCATAAGCTATTGCTCCAATACGGGCTGACCATTTAATCAGGTGATTGACCTTGTAAATCTGATACAACCACTAGTGTTGTATCAGATTTACAACACAGTCGTCACCATTGAGACAACCCAACACTAGCAAAGGTCTCAGTTTTAGTGTCGCATCATAGACCTTCACTAGGTTTTGAAGCAATCAAAGACGGATAACAGAACTCGCTTATGCAACAGATGGCTTGCTTTCCATGTGGGATGGATAATTATTCAAAATGTTCTGTGTTGCAGTAAATTGCGCATGCTTAATAGGGACTAAACTCAGCAGTTACCTTATTTGTCATTTTTCGTCATTTATCTCACTGTAATTCATGTTAATTTGTGTTGGAGTTTTATAAGTCGTTTACAACATTCGCGTCCGTGTTGTATGGGAATTACAATCTCTCGCCTGCGGCTCGAGATTGTAATTCCCATACAACACGGCCGCTCATGTTGTAAACTATACTTAA